ACTGAGTGTGAGTGGTGGACAATCAAGATGCTTTCAGATGACAAATGCTCTGAATGAGACTGAATATGGGGACACCTGATGGTGTAGGGCTGCCCTACATGCACAGTTAGGGGAAGACTCCTGGAGGGTGGGTCACCGTGGGGTGTTTCACACAGCTGTGTTTGAGTTTTGTTATTCTTGCAGTGCTGGAGATGGAAGCAGGACCTCACGCATGTAGGTCGCCATGCTCTACCACTGAGCTGCACCCCAGCCCGGGCTTGGTGTGCCTTTACTTCTAGGAGGCTGAGGGTTATCAGCACCCCAACTCCTGTGTAACGTCTAGGGAAACAGGAAGAGTAGTTTCCACACAACTCTGAGTGGCTGGGGGGTAGGTGATGCACTAGGGGATCCTCGTGACAGGGTGTGGCACAAGGGCATGGGTAAGGGACGGGGTGGCTCTCCCCATTTCTGCACAAAGTCAAGAGAAGCCAGGCCAGTAGGGACAGCTCTGGAGGGGGCAGGGCAGTGTGACACCTTAGAGACTTCTGGGGATCCTGGGGAAGGGAGCTGGCAGTCAGTAGAAAGGGACAGGTGACCATTTTCACAGCACGTGGACCCCTGTGGCTCCTTCCATTCTGGAAACCCAGCAAGTCCACACCCACACCAGCAGAAGCCCCCCACCCCAGGGCATTGTCCCCAGAGTCTACATGTTACTCCACCCAGTGCCAGGCAACAGGAGGGGCCAACCTTCAGAAGGCAGGGGAGTGGGGATGGAGCTCAGGGGTGCACTCAGGCCAAGGTAGAAGAAGCGCTGCTCCCTGGATATACATGTAGTGCTGCCATGCTGGCAAGACCCAAACTCTGCAGCCCCTACTCTGCTCTACTCATCCTTTTCCTGTTAGGCGCCAGTGGCTTGAGGCAAGGACCACGGACGACAGACCTTCCGTTTTCATTGTGGATAGCTCCACTGCAGAGAGGGTCAGTGCACCTGAATCCCTAGGACTTTCTGTAGAAAGCGTGGCAAGCATCGGCCTCAGAGAGGCACCCAGCAGGGAAGGACAGGCTTCCATTTGTCCCAGGAAGCAGGTGCCTCTGGGATGGGAAGCGGAGCAGCGGTGGTGGACTGGTGGACAGGCAAAGGCACAGAGAAGACCTCGTGTGGCTGAGTGTGCTGCACCTTACTGCAGGTCCCAGAGGTGCCAGCCATGAAGAGATGCAAGTGTTTTGCAAGACGAGAGAGAGGGCCCAGTGACCCAGTTCAAAACTTTGTGATTTGGTTTTAGTTCTCTTAATTTTGAGAAGATATTGATGCTTTAGAAAAATTACCTGTTGTAAAAGATAGTGATAATCATACCCCAAGGAGGGAAATAAATAAAACACATGATGCTGCCATAGGCCAGCAAATTGCTTAGTGATGATAAAGTCATCTTTATCAAGACCCAAGCGCAGTGCCCTGTGCAGAGCTGTATCCCACCCAGGCCTCAGAAGGACCTGAGGAGTGGGCAGATGAGCAAGTCAAGGCGTGGGGAGTCAGCCACTAGCCCGGGTTGTAACAGTAAATCATGTTGATGGCGCGCTGTCCCATGCAGGCCTGTCCTCCACGCTTACACGGTGTCATCCTCACTCAGGCCTTTGCTGTGAATTTGATGGGGAAACAGCATTACAGATGGGTTGAGCGTCTGGCCATGGCCCCTTAGCTACCAGTGGCTGGCAGGACTTGCACCCAGGCCCCTGACTCTGGAGACTGACCAGGCACTGAGCCAGGCAGCCTCTGGTTTGCATGGCCTGTCAGGTTCTCTCCAGGGAGGGGTCTGTGAGAGAGAAGTGTGTCCACACTGTTGTCTTTCTGGTTCCAATAGGAATGCAGCTTCCCAGGGTCTGCAATCACTCATGGAAGACTGGCCTGACTGCAAATCAGGATGTTGATTCTGGATTGGAGAATTATTCAAGCCATGCTAATGGGGTCAGGGCTGGAAGGGCAGGCGGAACCAGGAGGCTCCCACCCCATTCCTTGGGGCTTGACTCTGACCTTCAGCCTGCATTCATCTCCTCCTTGGGTCCTTCTTGACTTTGGTCCTGCCAGATCAGGGTACAGTGAGCCTGCGTCCTCAGCATATACTTGTCCTTCTTCTGGACAACCCTATCCTTGTATGTCTCAGAAAAACCCACAGTGGAGGCACAGAGGTCCAGTATCAAGGCTGAGGTATTTCCCTGGAGGCTGCTTTCCATGGCAGATGGTCCCACCGGCCATCAGTGTCCCCCCCTTTGCCAGAGGGACTATACCAGGACTGAAGGAAGGATTTTCTCAGGCCAGCGAAAACTGCAGTGGGGGGCAGGTGCCGGCAGCTCACTCCTGTAATCCTAGCTACTCAGGAGGCAAAGATCAGGAGGATTGTGATTCAAAGCCAGTCCAAGCAAATAGCAAAGAGCTATCTCAAAATAACTTCACCAAAAAGGGCTGGTGGGGTGGCTCAAGGTGTAGACCCTGAGTTCAAATGCCAGTGCTGCAAAAAACCAAAAAACCAGCAGGTGGCGTGGCTCTCTCCAGCTGCCTCCTTGCAGTGCAGGAGTGAGGGTGACATGCTGAGAACTTCAAGATCCCAAGCCCCAAGTGTAACTGAGGTCAGACCTTGGGGACTTTAAGCCCAGAGCAGAGTTGCCACTTTCCTAAGGAGAGTCCACTGGAAAAGGGGGTGGTGTCAACCTGGCCTGCCTAGCTGTCTCCTGAGATGAGGCCTGGCTCCTGCCAGCCCAGGAGTGCCCACAGACTCCCACTGTGTGAGTGAGCACTGGGCCTCCTTGTGTGGTGCCCGGCTGCTCCACACATCTGCCTGCCCTGCATACAACGGGCCTGTGTTCCCGGTAGCCAGCCAGCACCCGAGGAGGGCAGGCCGACACCATCCTGTCCTTTGCAGCCAGCGTGGGGACGGGTGGCATCAAGGCCTGCTGTGACAGACCCTGCCACACGCCCTCATGGGGCTCTGCCCCCTCAAATCTCACTGGCCTCCTGCATTTTCAGATCTCCCCTGTGCCAGGCATGTAGAGGGTGAGGGACAGGAATGTCCTGCACTGACATCCCTCTGGGCACAGATGATAAATAAGAGACCTGTCTTCAGGGGATGACGGCACATAGAACCATAAATCAGATTTGTACAGGGTGGAGAGGGAGCAGCTGCTCTCCAGGCCCAGGCCCTGCTGTAAAGGGGCTTGGTGGCACCTGGAGCACTGAGAGAAGCTCTGGGCCTGGCTTAGTCTTGGCCTCCCCACTTGCCACCTACTGCTTCAGGTTGCACTCCCACGTCTGCGAGGAGGAGAGGCAGGGAGTTTGTTCCTAGCCCCTTGGGGCCTGCGTGGCTGTGTCAGAGCCATGTGGGCAGCTGCCCCTCTGCCCTTCTTGAGGGGAATCTTCCGGAACAGGTGGCAGTCACCATTAGAGCCAGCTCAGGTGTCAGGGCAGCTGGGGCTGAGGTTACACACCCCAGAGACACTCCCAGCTCTTAAACCACAGCTGTTTGCCTGGTGAGGGCCACCTCCACTCCACCCTGTCCCCTTGCCACGATTTCTGGGAGTTGTCATGGTCACTAAGGACACAGGTATGGAGCAGGTGGACCTGGTCCTGTCCTTGTTAGTGAGGCAGATACCTAAGAAGTGGGGTTAGATACCTAACCCCTGAGAGCCTCTCTGTTCATGGTAACCACAGCAAGGGGCGGAGGCGCTCAGCTGCAGCCCCAGACCCTGCATCCCAGTGAGCCACCACAATGGGCTCTGTGTGCAAAAGGGGGTCAGTGCGCCTTACTGGGTGATGGGGTACAGGGGCAGCTCAGAAACTGCCTGTCTGTGCCCAGCCCTGGCTTTGGCAGCCCCCAGATCTGTGTGTTTGACCTGAAAGAACCTCTTGGCCCCACTGGGCCTGCTCCTCTAACAGGAAACCCTGCCGTCCTGCTGAGCAGGAGCTAAGATGTCTGCATCAGATCCTAAGTGGCAGGACGCAATCTCACGTTACTACTCAGGCCCAGTTGACTGCCCCCAGCTGGCCTGTGGTGCAGGTTCCCAGGTGTCCTGCCTAATTCAGTAATTTGGCTCAGCTCTGGGGAGACCGGGGCTGTCAGCCTGTCCCATCCCTCCTGCCCATGGCCTGAGCAGCTTGCCTTAGTCTGCACACACTGCTGGTCAAACAGGCTGGTGACAATGTGTGCTGCAAGTGCCTAAGCCTCCTGCCTGGGAGGTCGAGCTGGAGAGACAAGACTCCAGGAGGAAGAAATGGGAGGGGACCTTGGGGACATGACCCTGGCTCTTGTTTGGGTCTCAGATAATGATGGCAGCGTGCAGAGCAGACCCTCCTCCTACCATCATATCATCATCCACCCTCGGGCCAGAGTCACCATCCTCCTTGGCAGTTGGGGGCAGGGCGGGGCCTGAGTCAGGACAGGGTTTCTATAGGTTGCACCCACCAGAATGAGGCTGGTCTTAAGGCAAGGCAGTCACCAGAGCCTGGTTTCCAGGTGATGCTGGGTGGGAGTATTGGCCAACAGCATTACCATGGGGCCTGCCTCCCAGGAGAGGGGGTGGCACGTCCTTTCACGGAGGGAGCACTGTGGAGTACAGTCACCCAGCCTGGCTGAGATTTTGGGTCTCTGCAGCTTCCCACAGAGGGGGGACAGGGGCAGAGGATGCTGTGTTGGGCCATGTCCACTCCTCCCTGGGGCCTGGGGACCTGGCTTTGGAAGAGCCACGTGGGATGGGTGAGACAGGGGCTCTCCTGAGTACAGGAGAGCCCCTGTCATCCTCACCTTCCAAAGCCTGGAATTCTCCGTGGCTTGTGCCATTGGGTGCCGGCTGCACTTGAGGTGTGTGTCAAGGAAAAGAAGGTTCCACCAAGTGTGGCTGCTCAGAGAGAGCATGTCCCTCCCTGGTCCCCATGCTCCTTTCCAGCTAGCTCTGTGGTCCTTCCCCATTCAGGGCAGATGCTATAGGGACAACTGTGGGCGGGCTTCTAATCCTGCCTCCTGTGTCCCAAACAGGCCATCAGCATCAGCAAAGCCATCAACAGCCAGGAGGCCCCTGTGAAGGAGAAGCATGCCCGTCGTATCCTTGCACTCGCGGAGTCCGGGAGGCAGGGGAGACTGGGCTGTGATGGGGCTCAGGGAGCAGTTAATGTCAAGGACACAATCTTTACAACATTGCCCTTTGTCTTGCTCTAACGTCTGTCTCTTGGGCTGAAAACCCTAGCTCTTGTGACCTGGGCTGGAGGGTGTGGAGGAGGTGCCCTGGCCCAGTGCAAAGGAACATGGTCCAGTGTTGCTGGTTTAGCTGTGTTTACTGAGTGCCACAGCCTCTCCATGTTTCAGTTCTCTGCATCTTGTACTTGACCTTGACCCTCAAAGGTATCATTCTGGGCACTCACCATGAGAAAGGTGCCTTTACCTTCTGGTCCTATGCCATCGGCCTGCCGCTACCCAGCAGCTCCATCCTCAGCTGGAAGTTCTGCCATGTCCTCCACAAAGTCCTACGAGACGGGCACCCTAACGTGAATAGTTTTCAGTACCTTTGGTCCCGGGAGGAGAGGAAACCAGGGCCCCCCATACCATTGGTTCTTAGCTCTGGAAGCAGAGCAGTGACCCTTAAAGTATGCAGTTCTGGACCAGTGAGCCCTAATGCCTGCTGCCCCCTCCTGTCCCTTCTGCTCTGGAGTAAGGAGCAGATGCCTCAGGACCTCCTTGGAGATTCTGGATCCTCACTCCCCTCTCACCACAGGTGCTACATGACTGCCAGCGCTACCGGAGCAACATCCGGGAGATCGGTGACCTGTGGGTAGGTGCTGGGGGTAGTGCAGCCTTGTATCTCGAGAGCCCAGGGGAGGGCAGCGCCTAGCATGGCTGGTCTCCTCCTCCTCTCAGCAGAAGTTAGGGCACTGTCACTGTGAGAATCAAGCATCGTCAGTGTGAAGTTGCACCCTTGCTTTTAAGGCCTGGTACAGGGTGTTCCCAAAACATTGCTGATGTGCCTCTAGCTTCACAAATCTCCCAGCCCTTTCACACCTGCAGGTTGGGAAATGTGGCGACCACAGGCTAGGTGTCTGAGTGGTGGTCAAAGTGCCACGTGAATGATGCAGACCTCTGGGCTTCCCTCAGACCAGCTGCTCTAGCAGTGTGGTTAGAGAGCCATGTCTTCCACCCACTTCCCGGGTAACCTTCAGACCTAGCAGCCCGAGGGCCCTGGGGAGCCTGAGCCTGGATCCACTCTGAGACCCTCAGGAGTTAGAGGCGCTGTAGTGGCAAGAGGGCCTCTGAGTCCTGCTGTCCTCAGCTGGGCGGGGCTCCTGGAACAGACCAGAGGGAGGCTAGGGCCTCGTGGGGTGTTCCCTGTCCAGAGTCACTGCATTTCATCCGTGTCCCTTGACATGAGGGACGCAGTGCTCATGGTGCCTGCAGCAGACACAGCCAGCTGGCATGATCACAGGCTGTGGTGTTTGCAGAAGGGATCTGGGAGGCTGGTACAGGCGTCTGTCAGAATGCTCTGGCTGCCGCCAGCACGTGAGCAAAACCCCTCAACTTGGAACTGGCCTTTTGCCATGGACAAAGAGCACTCTTCTCACAAGAGTTTCTCTGGCAAGAATGATAAGGAATAAGATTAACAGAGGGGAAAGTCTGGGATATAGCTCAACTGGTAGAGCATTTGCCTAGCATGTATAACACCCTGGGTTCAATCCCCAGCACAAGTGAAAAACGAGAGACAGAAGTGGAGGCCACCAGGAAATGCTCGTTGAGTGAATAAGGGACTGGTTTGTGAAGGATTGGCACTTACTTCTTAATCCCTTCCCAACTCTGTTTCTTGTCTCCCCAATGTGTGCCCCGTCCCAGGATTCTTGGCTGCTGTTAAATAGTATCCTCACCCTGGGCTCTGTTTCCCCCAGGGACACTTGCATGACCGGTATGGGCAGCTGGTGAATATCTACACCAAGTTGTTGCTGACCAAAATCTCCTTCCACCTGAAGGTAGTTTCCTGGGAATCATGGGCTCTTCCTCTGAGACATCTGGGGATGTAGAGGAGGGCGGGATCTGTCCACCTATGTGAGAGGCCAGAATGGTGTGAGGCTCCCGGAACTCTTCCGTATTTCCATAGATGGAAGGTGGATCCCCAGCCCTGTTCTAGCCAGGCTGCCCCTCTCCCCTGGGCTTTGTCTCTCAAATGCTCGGCTAGCTTTTTGTCAGCTTGGTCAGAGTACCTGCAGGCTGCATGGGCCTGGGGGGCTCCCTGGCCTCTCCCCCTCTCTTGAGAGGTAGAAGAGGCTTGCACCAGAGCCTGGTCTGCCAGGAGCAGGAACAGGGACAAGCGTGTGTCTGCCCAGCACTGCTGCAGCTGAGTAGGGGCTCTCTCTACAGCACCCACAGTTTCCTGCTGGCCTGGAAGTGACAGATGAGGTGTTGGAGAAGGCAGCTGGGACTGACATCAATAACATGTGAGTGTGCACAGCCAAGCAGCAGACATCCATTTCCCTGCTGGTCTCAATTTCCCTGGTGTTCCTCAGCGTGCCATGCCCAGGCATATGGGGCCATGGTGTCAAATGTGGCCATAGGCCCTCAGGTGAAGGTGGTGCTCCCAGGAGAGCAGGCTATGGGGAGCGGACTGGGGTTTATGTGGCACCTGTGTAAATGGCATGCAGATGGACAGTTGCTGCCTGGGGTCTCAAGGACAGGTAGTTGTGCCACACGCCGTACTCATTCCCTCCCTGTCGTCTTCCCTAGCTTCCAGCTCACTGTGGAGATGTTTGACTACATGGACTGCGAGCTGAAGCTTTCTGAATCTGGTGAGCAGTACACAGAGCAGACTCTGGGGGCTTGAGTCTCACCCATACCAGAGCAGGGAAGGTGACAGTGGACAGGCAGACTTAATGTTCAGTTCAGTTTGTGGTGTTGGGATAAAGCCCGGGGCCTCACACATGATCGGCAAGTGTTCTATCCCCAGCTCTGATGTAATGTTCTTAAATCCACCTGCACTCCCAGGAACAGGTCCTGGGGCCTCATGGTGCCTCCAGGTCACCAGGCCCCTAAGCGTACATCTAGCATAGCCTCGGCTGTCCTCACACCCTTGTGGGCATCACTCCATCCACCCCAAGATGAGTGAGGGCATGGGTATTGGGGAGCTGCCTCTCTAGGCTGCTGCCCAGCCTCACGGTGTCACAGACCCTAAGGACAGAAATCTGGGTCTCATTGCCCACTTTGCGTTCTAAAAAGCTTGAACCCTGTCAGACTTCCTAGCCAGGAACCAGCAGCCGCTGGACGGGAAATCTTGGACTCGCCCTTCTGGCCCCAGAGGTGATTGTTCTAGGTGGCAGCTTCAAAACAACTGGGGTGACTCAGTGTTCTCCCACACAGGACAAGAAGCAAATGCCTTTTTAAGGGAAAACTGGGAGTTTGGAAGAGTCAGGGTAGCCTTGTCTGGACTCCGAGGCCAGCTGAGCCTGGTGGGTGGTTTCAATAGGCAAAAGGCCAGCTTGTACCCGAGTCCTGTGTGCCTGGGAACCATCTGCCTAGAACCTGACGGGGAGCAGAAGGCAGGTGTCCAAGGGTGTGGTCAGTGGTACACCTTGACCAGGGCTGCCAGGCTTTATCTTCTGGCACAGATGGGCTAAGGCTGAACTCCACACAGCACAGAGGCTACCAGGCAGGAACAACGTCCCCTGCATCTGTACCCCAGGCTGCTGTTGGCATGGGAGGGGCCCATAAGGGAAGTGGTCCCCATAACGGAAGTGGTGAGAGCCCATAGGCCCCAGCCCTGGCAACATGGATGTCTTAGTGAGGCACAAAGATGACTTCGCGGTGTTGCTCGGTATAGCTCCGGAGGTCCTGGCTGCACTAGTGGCAGGTCCAGGAGACAGAAATGTCCTAAGTTTCTCAGTGGAGAGCTGGCTGCACAACAGGGAGCAAAAGCAGCTGCTTCTACTGTGGTCAGGAACCATCCAGAGAACATGGTGCGGCATGGACCAGGCCCTGGGTTCAGTATTTATTTGTGTGTTAAACCCATAGCCACACTGGGGTCCTTTCTACAGGGAGACATACTTGGACAATATAAGGAAGAATTAAGAAGAGGAGAAGGGCACACTTTGCCTCTCCCTTGGCATTTCTTCCCTGTCACCACAGGTTTCCAAATGGCTGTATCCCAGGCAAAGCCACAGCAAGACCCAAAGACCTGGGGGAGTGGGTGGGGGAGGGGGAGAGGTGGGGCGGCTGTTGTAGAACCGTAGTCCAGCATCTGCCCGGCATGGGGCCCTGGCCTCTCTCCCATTCTGGCTTGCTGCCTGATCTTTGTCATTCCTCTCTGCCCTAGAGAAAATGCCAGCCAGGGAGGAGGCAGCTCCGTGTTTGTCCCTCCTCCTTGGGTTCTGATACAAGGCCTGATTGTCAGGGGCTCCAGGGGCAAGTGAGGTTTCAGGTCACTTGGGGCTTGACACCCCCCCCCACCCACACACACACTGCTGTATGACTTGGAACAACCCCCAGCTTGTCTCCACATTTATAAAATGAGGTATTTGCATGTAGCCAGAGCTGGCCTCAAGCTCACAATCCTCCCACCTCACCAAGATTACAGGCATGGCCACCAGGCTTGTCTTGGGCAACGGTCTTAAGCCCTATCCTTCTCTAAAATTCAGAGGCCTGTGGGCATGGAGCACTTCTTCCTGGACCCTCCTGGGAGTGTGCTGGTACCAGCAGCCACTGTGGCTCCCTTCTGAGGCTGTAGTACACTGGTGTTGGAACCTGGATTAGAGTCCCAACTTATCTTCAAACCTTCATGGTGGTTGTGACAACACAATGAAGGGGCACTCTTAAAGTGCAGGATTGAGAGCAGCCTGAATCATGTGCCATGGGGTGGGCCCTATGCCCCGTCCCCAGCACCCTGACTTAGCTCTTTCTCCTGCCCCTCTTCTGCAGTTTTCCGGCAGCTCAACACCGCAATCGCTGTGTCCCAGATGTCCTCAGGCCAGTGCCGCCTGGCCCCACTCATCCAGGTCATCCAGGACTGCAGCCACCTCTACCACTACACAGTCAAGCTCATGTTCAAGCTGCACTCCTGTGAGTCCTCGATCCTGTGCAGGTGTCCTGTGCAGGTGCCCAGGGCAGTGGCAGCCCGCGTGACACAGACTGCCTGGCCCATTGACTGTAGTACTGGAAAGGAAGACTGAGAGATTGGGTCAGAAGAAACAGCACTAGGGCTGGGGCATAGTTTTAAGTGGTTAGAGCGGGCCCTGGCTTCAGTCCCCAGCACTGCAAACAAAACAAAAGATGAACTGAGTCATTAACATAAACAGCATGCTTTATGGAAAAGGACTGAGTGGAGTGGCATAGTTTTGCACTGCTCTCAACACCTGGCTTAGGCTAGGACGGCAGCCCTACCACATTGTGTGAGGAGCAGGAGCAAATGCACTGCAGTGTTCAGAGAGGGAGCTTGGCCTTGGCCAGGCTGTGAACCACCAAGCCCAGGCGCTGTTTCCATCTTAGCGCACTGACGGGGTGTCGGCACAGGTGAGGCATGATGGGGTCATGGCAATGTCGTCTCCACCTTTACTGCTTCCTTCTCCAGCTTAGAGGCCTCCCCGAGCCTGCTCTCCCTTTGGGATGTATACCCAATCCATGGAGGGTTTAGAACATGGAGGAACAAGGGAGGGGAAAGCGAGCCCCAGACCAGGGTGCAGAGAAGAAGCTCCTTAAATTCATGCTGCCCCCCAGGTCTCCCAGCAGACACCCTGCAAGGCCACAGGGACCGGTTCCACGAGCAGTTTCACAGGTACCAGCCTGGGGCAGGGCTGAGGCTGGGCCACGAAGAAGCCCTGTGGCTCCCCCGTGATGTCTCCTCCACCTCTCCCCACCTGCAGCCTCAGGAACTTCTTCCGCAGAGCCTCAGACATGATCTACTTCAAGCGGCTCATCCAGATCCCCCGGCTGCCTGAGGTGCCATGCCCCTCCCCAAGCCATGGTCTCTGGGTCTATAGGGGGACTGAGCTGAACAGCTCCCCCTGCTGCCCCTGCAGGGACCCCCCAACTTCCTGAGGGCCTCAGCCCTGGCTGAGCACATTAAGCCTGTGGTAGTGATTCCTGAGGAGGCCCCGGAGGACGAGGAGCCTGAGAACCTCATCGAGATCAGCACCGGGCCCCCTGTTGGGGAGCCAGTGGTGAGCTCCCCCATGAGGGTCTCTAGCCCAGTATGAGACCGAGGGGTGACTTGGTTTCCCTCACGTGGAGGGCACAGCCGAGTGGGACAGGGCTTATTGTGCACTGCTGTGGCAGGTGGTGGCTGACCTCTTTGATCAGACCTTTGGACCCCCCAATGGCTCCGCGAAGGATGACAGGTGAGGCCCTTGGGGGGGATAGGCAGTCAGGATGCCTCTGTCTGGAAAGACCCCAGGTGGGAATGAAAACTCGAGAGCCAGGGTCCTGTGTGAGGATCTTTGACCTCCTGGATGAACTTGAGCTCCAGGTCCTCTGTCCCCAGGGACCTCCAGATTGAGAACTTGAAGAGAGAGGTGGAGCTGCTCCGTGCCGAGCTGGACAAGATGAAGCTGGAGGTGAGGGAATGCAGGGAGAGGGTGGCCCCCACGCGGGCTGGGCAGGGCCCCACGCTGTCCTTCCTGTACCACAGGCCCAGCGGTACATCTCACAGCTGAAAGGCCAGGTGAACACGCTGGAAGCCGAGCTGGAGGAGCAGCGGAAGCAGAAGCAGAAAGCCCTGGTGGACAATGAGCAGCTCCGGCACGAGCTGACCCAGCTGAGGGCTGCGCAACTGGAGGGCGCACGGAACCAGGGCCTGCGTGAGGAGGCTGAGAGTATGTGGCAGTGCTGGTGATGTGAGGTGAGGGGCTGCCTCCACCCTGCCCTACTGGTCACGCCTCTCCTCTCCTGGCTGTAGGGAAAGCCAGTGCCACTGAGGCACGCTACAGCAAGTTGAAGGAGAAACACAGTGAGCTCATCAACACGCATGCAGAGCTGCTCAGGAAGGTGAGTGCCTGTGGCACCACCTGGCCTGTGGAGAGGGGCACAGGCCAAGGCCAAAGCATGAGCCTGTCCCTGCTCGTGTAGAATGCAGACACAGCCAAGCAGCTGACAGTGACACAGCAGAGCCAGGAGGAAGTGGCACGGGTGAAGGAGCAGCTGGCCTTCCAGATGGAGCAGGTGAAGCGAGAATCCGAAATGAAGGTACGTCCTGCAGAGTGCACCAGGCCCCACCCTGTATCCGTCCAGCTCTGCTGTCCCAGTGACACTGTCCTGTTCTGTCCCAGTTGGAGGAACAGAGTGACCAGCTGGAAAAACTCAAGAGGGAGCTGGAGGCCAAGAATGGAGAGCTGGCAAATGTGCAGGAGGCCCTGAGCCGCACGGAGCAGGTGCTGCTGGGACAGCGGGAGGGGTGCTGGGATCAGGACAGAAGTTGGGGCCTCCTTCCTGTGAATTGGCCTACACTTAGATGCCATGGGGGGGAGAGGTAAAAGACAGCCATCAGGGATTGACTGGGAAAGCTGCTCATTGGGGTGCTGTGTGTTCACAGAGTGGGTCACAGCTGAGTTCACAGCTGGACACACTGAGTGCAGAGAGGGATGCACTGAGTGGGACCGTGCGGCAGCGGGAGGCTGAGCTGCTGGCAGCCCAGAGCCTGGTGCAAGAGAAGGAAGAGGCACTGAGCCAGGAGCAGCGGCGCAGCTCCCAAGAGAGGGGCGAACTGCAGGGGCGGCTAGCGGAGAAGGTGCGACCTCCCTCCAGCCACTCCACCACCATGTCCCCCTGTTAGGCAGCTCACAGGTTCAAAGTACACTGCCAGAGGATTAGAGGTGTGGCTCAAGCAATAAAGCAACTGTCCCAAAGTGTGCAGCCCTGAGTTCAAGCCCCAGAACCAAAAAAAAAAAGGAAACCAAAACAGTATACTGCTAGAACATTCTTACCACTCCAAAAGGAAGCCCCAGACTCAAAACCTCCACCCCTGGTTCCATCTTCCCTCATCCTCACCAACACTAGCTTACTCTCGTCTGTAGTTTAGCCAGCCCAGCAGGTGGAAGGAGCTTGCGCGCTGTAGTTTTAATTTGCATTTCCTGAACGAGGTTGTGGCACTTGTGTGGCTCTGGAGAGGTGCTGTCCGGATCCTCAGCCTGCTTGTTAATTGGACTGTTTGCACATTGAGTTGTTCTCTCGTGAGGGAGTAGCCCCACCCTGCAGGGACGGAGGTCCGCAGAAATCTCCAGGCATGGCAGCGCTCAGCGGTTGGCCTCTGGGGTTGGGCCAGGGTCACACCCTGGGTTTGAGGAGGGTGCTCCAAGCTGCCTGTCCCCCTGCCACCAGGAGTGTCAGGAGCAGGGGCTGCGGCAGAGGCTGCTGGACGAACAGTTTGCAGTGTTGCGGAGCGCTGCCGCCGAGGCCGAGGGCATCCTGCAGGACGCCGTGAGCAAGCTGGACGACCCCCTCCACCTGCGCTGCACCAGCTCCCCTGGTACATGCTTGGAGCACCTCCCTTCCTCACCACCACGCTCACCCACGCATGCCTCATTCCTGTCCCCTGACCGTGAGAAGCAGGCCTCATGATCTCTTGTGCTTGCAGATTACCTGGTGAGCAGGGCTCAGGCGGCTCTGGACACCGTGGGTGCTGTGGAGAAGGGCCATAGCCAGTACCTGACCTCTGCAGCAGGTGAGTGCAGCCAGTGAGCCCAGCTTCAGGAGCTGAGCTCATGGCTTTGCACACAGACAACCTTGAGCCAATGGGGCCGTGGACACCAGTTATCAGCAGGGGTTTGGAGTGAGGGGCCTGGGCTCACCCATTGGCTTGGCTCGATGACCCTCTCATGTTTCCCTGCTAATCACCTTGGCCCTGCCCACCCCACAGATGCCTCTGCCCTGGTGGCAGCCCTGACTCGCTTTTCCCATCTGGCTGCGGACACCATTGTCAATGGTGGCGCCACTTCTCACCTGGCCCCCACTAACCTGGCTGACCGTAAGTGGGTCCAGCTGCCTCAGTGTTCAGTGGGCTGGGGAAAGGAGGCTCTGGGCAGAGGCTCTGCTCACACCCCTCTCCCTCTACAGGCCTGATTGACACCTGCAGGGACTGTGGGGCCCGGGCTCTAGAGCTCATGCAGCAGCTGCAGGACCAGCAGGCTCTGTCAAGTGCACAGCCTGGCCTGGTGCGGAGCCCCCTACAGGGCATCCTTCAGCTGGGCCAGGTGAGCATGGGCTGGGGGTGGGGCTCGGACCCTTAATTTCTCTGTACACCCTCTGGGTTGGGCTGAATGGGTATTCGTGCTTAGAGCCTGCCTGTCCCAGCACAGGGACTGCACACCCACCAGTTCCAGGTCTTTCTCGGGGTCCCTGGAGCTTAATGGGATGGAATTGATCTGTCTGACTCTTGTCTCCCAAGGAGCTGAAGCCCAAGAGCCTGGATGTGCGGCAAGAGGAACTAGGGGCCATGGTTGACAAGGAGATGGCGGCCACGTCTGCTGCCATTGAGGATGCAGTGCGGAGGATCGAGGTGAGACTGAGCGCTGGGACATCTTGAGCTCCTGCCAGGTGCCTCTGAGGGCAGGAGGTGGCCATGGGGTCCTCCTTCATCTGGCTCCCGGCTCTGTCATTGGGTGTAGGACATGATGAACCAGGCCCGTCATGAGAGCTCAGGAGTGAAACTGGAGGTGAATGAGAGGTGAGCCCCAGATCCCCCCCTGCCTCTTAGCTCTCAGCACCCCTGCTGCTGTGGCCTCGCCTTGTATGGTATCAGTGAGCCCCACTACAGAGCAGCCAACCAGTCTCCCCTCCTCCTTCCCAGGATCCTCAACTCCTGTACAGACCTGATGAAGGTGAGTGGGTGGCTATGGCTCCAGGGTGGGGTCTGTGTCAGGGTCTCCAGCCAGAGTGTCACTCACATCTTGGTCTTGGTAGGCCATCCGTCTTCTAGTGATGACGTCCACCAGCCTACAGAAGGAAATCGTGGAGAGTGGCAGGGTGAGCAGGGCAGACCAAGGGACAGATTCCTGAAAGAGCTATGAAAGGGCATGAGACCCCTGAAATGTTCCAAGTGGCAAGCACACAGTGTGCCTGACACCACAGCGAATTCGTCCCATGCCCCAGGGAGGGTTTAGAAATGTATCCTGTGGCTGGGGGTGAGGGAAGACAGCCCTGGGGGCTATTCTCACCCGTGGGACTGGCTAGTCCTGATATGTCCTCCATCACCACTAGGGGGCAGCCACGCAGCAGGAGTTTTATGCCAAGAACTCTCGTTGGACTGAAGGTCTCATCTCAGCCTCCAAGGCCGTGGGCTGGGGAGCCACGCAGCTGGTGTATGTCACCTCAGGTGGGGGTGGGAGTGGGAGTGGTCAGGGGTCTGCTTCTTGCCAATGGAGAGTTTTGGGGGTCAGAAGGGTGGCGCAGCTGCCCTGACCCGCCCCTGCCCCTCAGGGAGGCGGCCGACAAGGTAGTGCTTCACACAGGAAAGTACGAGGAGCTCATCGTCTGCTCCCACGAGATTGCAGCCAGCACTGCCCAGCTGGTGGCTGCCTCCAAGGTAAGGCTGCACTGACCGCTGCGCTCCCCAGCCTGGCCTTGGCCCTTACTTGCTGGCCGTGGCCAGCAAGGCTTAGGGTGCGAGACCACAGCCACCCTGACTTCCCCCCAGGTAAAGGCCGACAAGCACAGCACCCACCTGAGCCGCCTGCAAGAGTGTTCCCACACTGTCAACGAGAGGGCCGCCAGCGTGGTGGCCTCCACCAAGTCAGGACAGGAGCAGATTGAGGACAGAGGTACGTGCCCGAGTGTCCAAGGAGGTGGAGGGGCTACTGGCTTCTGTGGGCTGGCAGGAGTTGACACTCAGACACTTAACCTTTTCTCCCTGGCCACAGAGACCATGGATTTCTCTGGCCTGTCCCTCATCAAGCTGAAGAAGCAGGAAATGGAGACCCAGGTAGGTGACCCTGGATGTCCACAGCTGCCAGACTCATCTCTCGGGATGAGCTCCAGGACGGGGGCCACGGGAAGTGCTGAGTGGGCCTCTGCTGACTGCAGGTGCGAGTGTTAGAGCTGGAGAAGACGCTGGAAGCAGAGCGTGTGCGGCTTGGGGAGCTGCGGAAGCAGCACTATGTACTGGCTGGGGTGATGGGGACACCTAGTGAGGAGGAGCCCAGCCGGCCCAGCGCTGCCCCCCGCAGGAAGCCACCCCTGGCCCAGAAGCCCAGCATGGCCCCCAGACAGGACCACCAGGTGCTGGGGCTGGGAGGAGGAGGAGGAGGAGGAGGTGATCTGGAAGAGGTGGGTGCTACAGCCTGCGACATGTGTTCCTGGTCTTTGACCCCTGCAGCTCGAGAGAAAGGCTGACATCTATCCAGCTCAACTTGTGAACTAGGCTCCTCAGGAGTCCAACAGCGTGGCTAGGTCCAGGCCTCACTTGACCCAGAGAGGGTCAAGGGGCCTCTGAGGGGCATTGCCTCTGCATCTGGTGCCCCGGCGTTCACCGAGACTGAAGGGGACTGGGCCACATGGGATGTCAGTCTGGATGTGAGTCTATTTATTTGCAATAGGAGCTGCTGAGTGCAGCCTGGACCACGACTCCACAGCAAATGTAGAAAAATTTTTAATATTCATTAGGCTTTTCCTCAAGGGGCCCCCTGCCTTCTGGATTCAAATCTGAGGTGGTAGAGAAAGACCCTGGCTCTCCTTGTGGGCCTGGTGCTAGGACATCTGTGCCAGGAGCCCTAGGAGGAGTGGGCCACTCAGGTGCCACCTTTGCCCCTGAGTTTCCATTTCCTGTTTGAGGTGATGTAGCTGCTCCCCATCAAGCACTGTTGGGGCAGAGTCTAGTCCTTCTGAAGGTAGGGCCTTGGTGCCCACTGGGAGAAGCACCGCGGTCCCTCATCTGGCCCGGCCCTGCCAGATCTGAATGAATTTGTGTTCTTTGAGCCCAAGGGCAGTGGCTGGAGGGATGGGGGCCCGCAGCTGGACCGAGTAAGTGCCTGGCCCGCCCCCAACCCCCTGGGGAAAAGGGAGGGAACACCTCTGCCTGCTGCCTGAGCAATCCTGTGGTGAAGCTCCACTGGCAATAAACGGACTGTTGTCACCAATGCCCTGCTCAGGGGCTGTGCCTGGCTCATTTCTCCGGAACACAGGTTCTCTTGTCAGGTCCTGGATCTCCACATGTGACTGGTGCACCTGGGACTGGACCGGCTCACTAGTGCTGCTGGTCCTGTCTCCAAGTGCCCAGCCTTTTCCGGGAGCTCTGTGACTCAGGCCTTCCTCTTACCGGTTGATCTAGCCACCCCCACCCCCAGGTCTCCCTGCAGCTGGTGAATCCCCAGCCACAGGTTTCAACTGGATGAGAGGGGTGGCTGCTGAGCTGGTGGGACCCCTGCCTCCCTGCTGGCAAGGACCTGCCCATCACTGCCACACCCAGCCTTTCTATTCAAGCTTAATAGGAAGGAGTCCAGGTTCCTGAAGGTGCAGCTGGCCTTGGGGGTCCCTCCCCCACCTCCCTGGCATTTATGGGACACGAGGACAGCAAAGATCCAGAGAAGAATCAACAAGGACACTGGCAACCTCGGGCCAGCCTGAGTATGTGGGGCCTGCACACCCAGGCAGGCTGTGTGGGATCCTGGGTGTGAGTGCCTTGCAAACTAATCGCGATAGCATGATGGCTAGCAAGATGGAGTCTAGGCCTAATTTTTCTTTTGGCAGTACTGAGGTTTAGAACTCAGGACCTCATGCCTTCAGGCACTCTACCATTGGAGCCACGCCCCCAGCCCTTTTTTGGCTTTATTTTCAGATAGGGTCATCAGGTCAGATTGTAATCATTCTGCCTAGGGCCTCCCACATGACTAGGATTATAGCTGCATCCCTACTCTTGGCTCCCAGGTCTGCATCTTGTTTGTGAGACAGAATTTGTTTCAGAAAACATTTTAAAGCAAATGAGGCTGAATACTAACCTGTGGTAATGGGGTTGTGCTGACTACATTTGACTCAGGGAAGCAATGTGACCTAAGTCCTCAGTGATCAAACCGTGAAACAGACTCCACAAAGGCGTCTTGGAATAGAAATCAGAAGCCTTGAGGGTCTTGCCCTACTTACCACACTCAGCTTGGCTGCTGTCCTGAACAAAGGGCGAGGGAGAACAGGATCCAACAAGACTGAGCTCACGAGGAGGAGCCACAGAGGTCACTGTAAAGCCCAGAGTCCTCAACAGGGAAGACAACAAATTTGTCAACTTCCTAGCAGCCAGTGGGAGTGCAAACTACCACTGCAGATTCATTCTTTTTAAAGGTAAACTGACTTCTCAAGAACAGCTCCCTTCTTCCTGGCAGCATAACCACAGGCAGCTCCTGTGTGCCATCATGGGACGCTGTAGAGGAGGGGCCGCCTCAGGGGAGGCGGTCCTAGGTCGGCTCGAGCAGGGATGCTCTTGATGTTCAAGCCCAGGCACTGCAGCCCAGATAAACTGCTCAGCCAGGGGCAGCGGGCATGCGGAGGTGCAGGTGCACAGCTCGGAAGGACAATGGGCACAGGTATGCAGCTCTGCGCAGGAGGCAGGGTCCCTCCTCCCTCTCCCTCAAGAGCGAAGCAGCATCCACTGGGCCTTGGTATGGCAATGCCAGTGTCTCCTTGAACACCTGCTGGCAAGCCCCCAAAGCAAAACATCAGAACCACTGAAATCCTGCCATTTGAACTAATCAGCGAGCATCCTGGCAAGTGCAAGTTTCTGTCAATGGACAGCCCAAGCCTCGTGTCACCAGCACCACGGGTGCAATCCTGAGGACACTCCTATTCGCAAGTGCAGTGTGCTGCTTCCTGCCGAGACTGCTGAAACGCAGGACGAGCTAAGAGGCCCACTGGTAGTGCTGATGACCGGACAGGCAGAGCAGGCTTAGCCAGAGGCCAGTGACTCACACCTGTAATCCTAGCTACGTTACTTTAGGAGGCTGAAACTGTAAGGATTGAGGCTCCAGGCCAAATCTGCAATACCCCATCCCAAATTAGCCACAGAAAAAAGTGGATGTGTGGTGGCTCCAGTGGTAGCACGCCTGCTGTGCAAACAAGAAGCACTGAGTTCAAACCCTGGTTCACCAAAAAATAGTAAGTACAGGCTCAGTCAGCCCTACTGGAACTCTGACCACTGATGTTCTAGAACAAGTTGTGAACATCCCCAGGTAAAGAAGTGACAGGACTATTATTAACAATTCTCCATTTATTAAAAAGGGTCCTACAGCTTTACATCCAGTGCCAGACGTGGTCATGGACCGCAATGGCACAGCCAGCCTAAGCGGCCCCTCACAACATCCACCCCAAGCTTGTAAGTGGCAGCAGGGCCATGGACATTCTTGCCAGTGGCTGTGGCATCCAGGGGAGGTGGCACTGCTGGCTTGAGATCCACAGATTGGCATGGCAGCGAATCATCCCAAACAGCTTGGTTTCTTTACAAAACAGTTAAAATACAGTGGAGTTCAAGTCCAGGAGGAGTATAGAAACTGAGGACAACGGCTGATGGCTCACTGGGACCAGCCGCCAGCTGATCACAGGTGACAGGGTAGGGCTTAAGTGCCACCAATGAGCACAGAAGCCTTTTTTGTGAACACATGGCACCTGTAGACAAGATCCCAGAGGAGGGAAAAGCTGGTGCTCAGGCTCTCTCCAAACCGCCCCACCCTCTTTAAGCCCAGATGCTGCCAGCCAGAGCAGAGAACACTGCCCGAGCAAATCCTGGTTGAAAGGGGCCAAACTTTTCTCCTGTATGTGGTAAGACAATGAACTTGGACAAGCCCTTCCAGGAATGTAGGGCCACCAATGAATGGCCGTGTCCAGCACCTCACAGACATCTGAGTCCTGGCACCAGGTGAATCTAAGGCACAGCACGGGCACCCGCAGGTGTGACCATGCACTGCTTGCACGAAAAGAAATTGCATTCACTTCACCTGCATTTTTTAAAGAGTTTCCCTGAATGGTCTTGTGTCAAAAGACTTTGCCACTATAAAACAGGAAAATTACACACATAGTAAAAATATCAGGAGAGTATCAGGCAGAGGGGCCAGGGAACGTGCTGTGCAAAGGCCAGCCCACACTTGTCTCCCGCACCTCTCCAGGCCTCTGGACACGGCAGGAGACCAAGTGCAAACTTTTGCTTGTGGCTTTGAAGCACAAGAAGTAGCCAGATGAGGGTGACTGATGACCTGCCCCATACAAACTCAATTGAGTGACACAGCTGCACATGGTGGCTAGGCCATGGGCACATGTTCTGGGCTGGCCAGACCACACTGCCCTCGCCAGGGCCACGACAGCTGATGAACCGAAATATACAGCACTGGTTTTTTTTAAAAGATACAACTGACCATGCTTATTAAATAAAGCTGCAATGGGAGGACCACGATTCTAAACAGGAGTGGGAGAGAAGCTTTTTCTTCCCAAATGCATCAGTTTGTCAACACTACAATACTTGGAAATCACCCAGAACACAAACTGATGCAGTGCACAGGCAGGCCAGGCTGCAGCCCAGTGCACCGCTTCCTTGGTGTACACAACCTGGGTCTCTACTTCTACTTACCCCTGACCTACAGTGCTAAAGTCTGATGGACATGCAGGCCCCAGGGCGCCCAAGCCCTCAGCCCAGCAGCCGGACCTTGCAGCCTCTGTTGCAGAGCCTGGCACAGCAGGTGGAGGGCATCTCCCAGAAGGATGGACACTGGCGATCACTGGAGGATGAAGCCGGGCTGGTGGGGAGGCAGCCGCGGTGGGGGTCTCTGAGGAAGAGCTGGCGGGTATGGGGACACAAGCTGCGCAGAGAATCCTTGCTGAGTGGGGAAGCCCACCCGGGGGGGCAGAGGCGGGCACTGTAATTCTGGGTATGGAATGGCCTGTCCTGAGCCCATGGCAGTGGTAAATGGGGTGGCTAAGCGTCCTGCAGGCACGGGGGGTGGAGGGGGGGGGATGCGCCGAGGCACAACAGAGGGGGGTCCACTGGCTTCCAGGGCAGGATAGGGCACAGGGGCAGCAGGTGCCGCCTCAGGCATCCTGGGTGGCAGCGGAGCAGGGGCCTGTGGGAGTCTCTGCCCCTTCAACACCAGCTCCTGGAGCTTCTCAACTTTCACCCGCCGCATGTGGGCAAGCTTCCGCTTGTTCTGGTAGACGTCAATGAAGGCATCTAGGGGAAGTTCTCCATCGAGAAACTTCTCTGCCATGTTCTGAAAGAGGCAGAAGAAAGCTGGTTACAGGTCCAGCCAACGTGAGAAGAAAAGCTCCCTTCAGTCCAGGCTCAGGGAGGGGCAACACCTCAGCTTCCTGCCAGCAGCCTCCTTCCCCTGGTGAGGATCCTGAGGTGCCCATACCTCTTCCACCACTCAGTACTGCAGACCTGGAGGCGCAGCTGGGGGCAGAGCCAAGGTGGGAAGTCCCCTATGAGCACTGCCCTCTGGAACTACAGCGCAGACTGATGGCAGGCCGGGCAGGACCCAGCCTTTCAAAGAAGGGGTAGCCTGAAGCTGCTGGGTCTACTAGCCCGCAGAGGTAACCGTTGCCCTGTCCCTACCCTCCTTAGTTATGGCAGCTGGAGGTCAACACCTGCTGGCTTTCCACCTGGCTGCAACCTGATTGGCAGATGCACCCTGGCTGGAGTCAACGGAACAGAAACTTGCATGCACCATCCATCCTGCCAAAGCCTAATGGTTAGTCAGACCAACATAGCCTGACCCTGCCAGCCACGACATTTGGCCCTGACTCATTTCCTTACCCCTGGTAAGGTTTTGGCCGTGTTCAAAGGCTCAGTAGCCACCAGCTGACTGACTCACAGACCGCAGCTTCAGTTGCTCAGTCACTGGCACCCACGGGATCAGTGGTGATTCAGTGCAGCTTAGCCTCAAATTGGGCCTGAACTCAACTGCCGGCTGCTCCCTGGATCCTGCCTGGCACCTTCCCCAGTCACAAGCCAGGACACCCACTCGCACACAGGCTGCAAGCTTGGTAGATGCCACTTCCTGACTGGAGGTATGGAGCTCCTGATCCTGGAGGAAATGGCCCTGCTGACTGACTAGAGTGACCCAAGGCCCCAGAAATGTATCCTAAATGTATCCTGGGCATTCCACCAAGGCTGGCTAGCCTCACCTCAGTGTCTTCCTCAATCTTGGCTCCTTCTGCTTGAAGAAGTGCCAACAGGGTCTCCAAGGAAGCACTGTTAGACTGTTGATCTGGAAGAAGCAAGAGGAACGAGTGTGGTGAGAGGCACCTCAGGAGACACCTTCCCACTTCCCCATCAAAGAAGTTATTTTCAACCAGAGAGGTAACGGGAGCGTCACACCTATTGTGAGCTGACTTTCCAAAAAGCTCAAAGGCCTTAAGTCCAGAGAAAAAGTGGCCAGGGGCAGCCTCGGAGCCAGCATCGTGCATCAGAGCACTTAGTGCTCATCACCATCTGCCCACAGACCAGCTAGTTTCGAATGTGACTTTAACTGTAATAACACTGATTTTTTTATTTTTTTTTGGCCACACCAGGGAATTGTGCGTGCTAGGCAAGTTCTCTACCACTGAGCTACACCATCAGCCTTTTTTAAAATTTTAAGACAAAACCTCACTAAGTTGGCCACAGTGGCCTCAAGCTTGTGATCCTCCTGCTTCCACTTCCTGAGTAGCTAGGATTACAGGTGTGCACAATACCCAGCTGTTTTTCCTATTTTTTGAGTCATAACTTACATCAAGCATGCACATCTGAAGTAAAAGACTCAAATTCTTTTTTTTGGGCAGTACTGGGGCTCTGGGGTTTGAACTCAGCTTGAGCCACTCCACCAGCCCTTTTTTTGTCATGGATTTTTCCAAGGTAGGGTTTTGTAAGCTATTTACCCAGGGCTGGCTTCAAACCATGATCCTCCCAATCTCTGCCTCCTGAGTAGCTAGGATTTCAGGTATGAGCTACTGGCACCCATCCAAAACTCAAATTCTTACATATGTATAAACCCCAACCACCACCACTAGTACCCCACCCGATCAAGACAGAGAACATTCTCACTCCCAGCAACTCCCCCAACTCTGACCTCTGCAACCAGACAGAATGTGCTCTGATTGCCTTCTTTCACTCAGCATCATCTCTCAGGCCATGGTCTTCATGTATCAGTGACTCCTTTTAATGCTACTGGAAACATCACAACTTATCTATCCATCATTCTAAAGATAGACATTTAAACTTTCCAAATTTAATTAGTATGCAAAAAGCAAGCACACATTTATACTGATCTTCTGATAGACATAAACCTCCATTTACGTGGGACTGCAAAATTGCAGCCTATGCAGGGCCTAAGTGCAAAAGGCCAAGCAGCTTTCACAAGCTGGCCTTACTGACTGACATCCCTACAGCACGGGGGAGGTACACATCCACACCAGCTGTGCCATGTGCCCCAGTGTGAGTGTGTGATAGTGGGTCTTTTCTGAGATTATGGAGACGATGACAGGACTACAGCAAGCAGCAGGCATTGCTCACTGAAAGAAGACTTCTGACCCAATTTCTCCTTATCTAGATGTCCCTTGAAAGCTTTCAGAAGCACTATGGCCACTCCACAATATAAAATTCAATTCTTCCATCTCTTCATAAAGACCAAGTTAAAGTGTGCCATTAAAATAAGATGTTCCAAACTTTTTCACTATTAACTTTGAAGGCCAAACAATTGTTGAATATAATTCAAAAAAACTGCCTTTTTTCTATGCTATTTGAAGAAGGTGAAGTCTCAAATTGAAAAAGTGGTTAAGTATGTCCTAAACCAGCAATCCGGCTTTATATATAAGCTATTGTTTTAATGCAGAAGAGTCACTGTCTTAACCTGAGATTTCTTTCCTGAAATAGCGACAGACTGAAAATTTATTTTTCCCTCAACTCTTTATTTTCAAAAGACACCCCTAAAAAAGTTACCTAATTTGGTTTTCTTTATCTGGTAGGCTTCAAAGAGAACCTGGAGCTCCTGGTATTTTTGGGTCAAACATGCTTTCCGAGTGTCCAGTTGGGGCTGATATAAAAGGTTTCCCTCTGCCAGGCTGCGGTTGCTGGCCAGAGTCATTTCTTTGTTAAGCTGAACAGTCTGTGTCTGCAAGAAAAACATAGGTTGGACAAGTGTGTTAGTTCATGGACAAGTCTAGGGGGCTATGCCTACCCTACCCTTCCCCCATCAAGAGCCTGCTCTATCTTGCTGGTCTCAGGCTGACACCGCAGGCTGGCCAGACACTGCCTGCTGAGACCCAAGTCCCTCTGATTTCTCTTTTGGATGCCATCGTCTGTTCATAAAGAGCAAGGCTGGCTGCCTTTGCAACACATTTCCAGCATGAGCTTTCCTTCAATGGCCGCTGTGACTTGCATTCTTTACTACGGCTGCTGGGCTTGCAAAAGTAAATAGCTGTAAAGACAGGGCTGGAGTTGTTCAAAACAAGTTTCTGCTGCTCCAGAGGAAGTTAAAGAATCACTTTTATCAGAGGGGACCAGCTGGCAGATTCTCAATGCCGGCTTTATCATCAGTCTTAGGAGATCAAACAAGTCAGCCTGCAAGGCCCTAAGAATAAACCCTGTTTACAATGACTCGCTTCTTCCATCTTCCCATGCCCACCCCCAGCTCTTCCCATTAGCAAAGCTGATCTAAAGCCCCCCTCCTTACTTCGTAGATAAAGGTGACAGTGCAGACCCGAGCAGAGAGAGAGGGGAAATGGGAGGTCTCAGAAAAAAAGTAAAGGACAAAACTTGGCCAAAGTGTGTTTAAAGAAAAAAACAAAACACAAACATATTCATCCTCTAGTTCCCTTTTCATTCACTCGTGACCTGTTTCCTCTACCACAGTCCACCCACAGCCACCTCAATTTGCACCTCAAGTCCAACGCGTTCTCTTAAAGAGCTCTTCTTCAACCCCACCCAGCATTCATTTTCCCTTTAGTATTTTCTTACCACCCACCCAGTCTATTTCCTTCCTCTCCATACTCTGGATATAGATTCATCCCTACACTTCGCCCCACCACCACACCCATTTATTGCTCTTGCATAGTTTCTAGTACACATACTCATACCACAACACAGCGAAGTACCAAAACAAAGAAAAAAGCCCTGGGCTCAATGCCTCAATCAGGAGGTCCCTAACCACACAGCAGAGGACTATATTCAGAAGATACATATCTATAGGTCCCAGAGGTAGACAAGTGAGGCCCAAGGTCCCTGTCAGGCTCAGCTTAAAACTGGAAGGATTTTGGCCTCATGGCCAGTTAAACCTACAGCTCAACACTATGAAGGAAAGGCTGGGAAAGGCCCCAAAATCTGTGCAGCAGAAATGCTCTTATCCCTCTCTGCTTTTACTGAGCAAGAAAGCTGGAAGGCCCTCGTCTAACCTGGGTTCCTGGGGGCAGATTGGGCTGCTACGATGTCCCCACCCGCCCCATCCACTAGAGCAGTTCACTCTTAGTGGGTCTTGTGGACTGAGGTCCTGCATAAGTCTTTCCTTCCATTGTTAAGCCATTTAAAAGAACAAACAAAAATAGACCATTGTACAGCCTCTCTGGAAAAGTTTGGCACGTTCTTATAAAATTAAATGTGTAAATATCGTATGACTCAGAAACTGTAGTCCTGGGCATTTATCCCAAGGAAATAAAAGCTTACATGTACATGAATGTTCTGAACAACACTGTTTGTAATAACCTAAATGTTGAAGTAGCCTTGGTGTCTTTGACCAGGTAAACAATTACATAAAATGTGGCACACCCATGCCATGGAATACTACTCAGCAAGAAACAAGAGCACACTATAGATACACACAACAACTTGGATCAAGTTCTGGGGAATTACACTGAGTAAAAAAACATGAATCCCAAAGGAGTCCACTTTCCATGATTCCATGTATGCAATATTCTTAAAATTACAAAGCTATACAAATAAAAAAGATTAGTGGGGGGCAGAAAACAGCAGCCTCGGGGATCCTCTTGTGATGGCAATGAATTATGTCTGCATCCTGACAGGGTCAGAGCTAATTCCCTGGCTGTGAGAGTGCAGCATATCAGAATTTCACCAGACCACCAGCGGGAAAAAAAGAGTCCACCTCTTTTTCAAAGAGACAAAGGATCTTGGCACTATTTTTTACAGACGCACAAGAATCCATGATTATCTCAAAATAAAGCTTAACTGTAAGTGAACAAACTGCTGCTGGAATCTTTTCCTCTCATTGGTCTCATCTAACGGGTGACCTGCTGCTCTGTGCACACTGTCATTCTGACTTCAATCAGTCACCATCTGCCAGGCACTGAGGTGGTTACAAAAAACTCAGAGGAACAGAACACTCCTATTCTAAAGACAAACTGAGTTGAGGTAAATGGAACCAAGTCTTCAGCCCAGAACTATGAGGATCTACTGGCCCTTCTCAGATCTGAGAACATGGGCCTTGAGTGCCCGTCTGCTCTCCCTTCAAGCTGACTCACAGAGCCTCCCTCCCTGCCTGTCACAGCATTCACTTCTTCCAGAAGTAAAAACTGCACTGTTTTCTTGCTCAGTCTCCCAACAGAATACAAGCTACACTTGTCTTTGGTATGGCACATACCCAGTACACATAGCAGCCATTCAGTGAAGCTCTGAATGAATCCAGCCCCTACCCCATCCCCAATCCCCAAAAAACAAATTAGTTGAGGCCAACTCTGGCAAAAACAAACAAACAAACAAACAAAAAACACAGGTAACAGGACTGAGGATGTACAGAACTTACCTAGCACGTATGGTTCAATCCCCAGCACAGAAAAAATGAAAATAAGTAAGGTGGGTGGCAAAATACAGAGTAAGAAAAAAGTGAGCTGTGCTTTTCAAGGAATGAGCACCTCAAACCCTTTGTGCAACAGATGGGAGAGGTCCCATTTGTCTTCATTTAAACTACACAGGCTGAATCTATATAAGGGTGGGTGTATGGGGTCAAACACTGGAGTTCAGGGTGATTCCAAAAGCAGAATTCCCCAAAAAATTCTAAGCAGAGAAAGCACAGTGAGTGCAAGTCTCCCAAGGTGACCTCTGGAAAGGCAGCAACACTTGAACTCTAGCACGCTGTTAAATATGAAAACATTACTCTATGACTGGGCTGGGGGACGGGCTCAAGTGGCAAAGCACCTGCCTAGCAAGTGTGAGGCCCCGAGTTCAAGCCCCAGTGTGTTACTCTATGGCAACGCCTGTACATGTGAATCACCTTCTAAAGGAGGAAAGGGAGAGGCTCTTAAAAACCCCAATACCTACAAGCTTGGGTGTAGCTCAACGGTAGAGCACTTGCCTAGCATGTGTGTGGCCCTGGATTCTATCCCCCACAACAACAAAGTCCCAATTCCCTGTGAGCCAACTCTCTAGGAGGGGCCTGGCAAGGATACTTTTCTCACAACTCTTAGGTGATTCCAACTGCTAACTGAAAACTGCTGTATCAGTTTCACTGTAAAACGCATCTACAAATCTTATTCCCACAGGGAGTAAGTCCAGTCCAAAGCACTCATCCCACATACTGTGAAGTCCTGTGAGAAAGACACACAAAGAATGGGCTATAAAAAAAAGGGCGATTCGCCTGAGCAGGACACATAAAGCCAAAGTCACCAGCCAGCAAAGGAGGCCAAGCCAAGCTCCAACCAATGACTGTTAAACTGGTAGTCAGCTCTTTTTTTTTTTTTTTCTCCTGGTACTGGGGCTTGAACTCAGGGCCTTCACCTTAAGCCACTCTGGCAGCCCTTTTTTGTGATGGGTATCTTCAGGATAGGGTCTCACTGGCTTGAAACCATGATCCTCCTGATCTCTGCCTCCTGAGTAGCTAGGATTACAGGCGTGAGCCACCAGTGCCCAGCTAAAACTGGTAGTAATTTTTACATCTTTGGGCATCCAGATATTTTTGTGTAAGTAAGTAATGGCCACCCAGAATATGCCTACAGCACCCTCCAGGTAGGGGGGACAATGGCAGCAAGGTCAAAGGCAGGATGTGTGTGCTGAGGGTGGGCAGAATTTCTTTTCTTAAGCATGTGAACAGGCTCCTCCAACACTCCGGTGGCCCCAGAATACCTCTCTGATGCTGCATCAGGTATACAGAAAAACCATCCTCCTCAGTATTCCTCTGCTATTGCAGCTGAGGAAAACGAGGAGGAAACAATCGGTCTTGCCATGTGCAAAGCAAAGACGAGCTGCTGTACAGGACCTAGGACCGCTAGGAACCAACAGCAGACACTGCCCACCAAGACCCAAGAGGCAGCCCAACTCTCAGGACAGTACACCCATACCGACCCCAATGTCTGCAACTAAATCTGGACAGTGACTCTTGAGAGTGCTTAGAGAGGGCTGTTATTTTAGGAAACATCAAAGATTAAAAAGGATCAATCTTAAGTTGCCCACAACCTCGTCTTCATGATAGGTGCCAACAGATAACTGAGACTGAGAATAACAATGCCAATCTCCTGATCTTTCTCATGGTCCCTTTTCCTAACCATAAAGAAAGCTTTTTCAGGAAATCACTTCTCTGTGGCGAAGAAATATTTTTATAATTGTACTCAGTTTCCTTCTTCCCCCTGAAGAAAACAGAATCATGACAGCCTTTATGAGGTGCCGCTTACACCTCATCTGTCTGTCTACAGGCATGGAGCTCCCTGGAAGGACATTCACCCAAAGTTAACAAAGCAACCCAAGCATAATGGGATTTTTTTTCACTTTCCTCTTTCTACGTTCAACTATCATAGTGTTTGATTCATTGTAACAAGCATACATTACAGGAAAAGTTATTTTCTTACATTAAAAAAACCCATTAGATATTAGTACAAACAGAAGAGCAGTTATTCTAAGAAAACAAACTGCCTTGGCTTTAAAAATGAAACAATAATCTTATATTTTACGTGCCTAAGGCAGAAATGTGGAGAACCCTTTATTCTTGGGGTACATACATTAGGAAACGCAGCTCTTAGAGAACCCATTCCATCTCACATGTACATGTCATTATTTTGGTTAATAAATGATAAAATAAGCTTCATAAGGAACAAAAACAAACTCCCCTCTGCACATGCAATAATTACAAATGAGAGGCAGATGGGGACAAGGACAGGGATAGGAGACTGCCTGCAGTCCTGTAGGCCAGTGATGGGTCAAGGGTTTGGGTTTCCAGTGAATAATATCCAAACCAGCTACTTCAACTTAAAAACCTGAATCTAGCTGGCCAGAGTTGGGCTCCTTTTGCTCTTGTAAGTGTGCCTTCCTAAATACTAAGGGAAACAGATTTGTCTGTATTTCCAAGCTAAACCTTTGCATGGAAAAATACTCTGGGCAGTCCCTGACTCCCCCTTCACACTGCAACATAACCTTTAATCCTAACAAAGTAAATGACATTATTGAATGATGTTACCAAGTTTAAGCAAATGAATAGAATTTTTTGTGGTACTTAGGTTTGAACACAGAGACTTGTGCTTGCTAGGTAGGTGCTCTACCACTTGAACCACGCCCCCACC